TAGAAGATTCTGTCCGAACATGCCATTTGAGGTGGCTCCCGGTAGAATTTTTTGATGAAATTTTTTGAGCATCTTATTCATTAAGTCTAGTTTACTCATACCAAATTTCAGCTAAAAGTTCAATCGGGGAGACATTCAAATGAATTCTTGAAGATAACTGCGCTTTTAACGGCACAGTTATCTTCAAGAATTCATTTGAATGTCTTCCCGATTGAATTTTTATCTGAAATTTGGTATGACTAAACTAGACTTAATGAATAAGATGCTCAAAAAATTTCATCAAAAAATTCCACCGGGAGCCACCTCAAATGGCACGTCCGGACAAAATTTTCTATATAAGGACTTATTTGACCCCTTTTTTACAACTTCGAGGACGAAACTGACCCTTATCCCTTAAGATATCTATTTTTCGATATACAGGTTCTCGACATCTGTTCTCGACATTTAACTCTCGAAAAGTTAGTTCTCGAACTAAACTTCTCGACATCGACTTCTCGACATCGACTTCTCGAATCGATATATTGAAAAGAAAACTTATCGAAGTCTTAATATCGAAAACTTACTTCTCGATAATCTTTCTCGAACCCTTAAGTTCCCGAACCTGGTTTTTCGAAGTCTCACTTTTCGATGATCTATACTTAGAAATATTTTTTGTGACAGATCAATCACTCGAACGGTCATTTTTTTAAGAACAGCAGAAATGGACGCTCTTTCAATAGGAAATGATAACAGACCCCGATCTTGCGGAGAGATGAGTACGTAATGTGGAAGAACATGTTTCTCAATTTTCTCGAAGGCAAAGACAACTCTTTAGCCATGCTTGAATCACTGACGGAGGGACCAACTCAGATTTGGATGATACTTGGAGGTGACAGTGATAATGAGCCCCCCGTTGAACCAGTGAGAGTACCTAAGGCTGTTGAAGAATATACTGAAGAAGATAGATTGAGAATCAAGACTGATCTGATGGCAAAAATGTACCTGCTCCAAGCAATTCCCAATGATATTTATATCCTGATTGACAGCATGGACTCTGCTAAGGAGATGTGGGATGAAATCAGAAAGCTGATGGAAGGAACCAATCTCGGTTTGAAAACTAAGAAGGCAAGCACTCTCACTGCCTATGATTCTTTCAAGGCCAAACCTGGTGAACCTCTGCACGAAACATATAACCGCTTTGTTAAGCTTGTGAATGACCTGCGAAAGATCAACGTGAACAAAGCCAACATGGAACTGAACATACGTTTTCTATCAAGTCTGAGCCCTGAGTGGAAGAGAACAGTGAAGAATGTGAGACAGAATCTGGATCTTGATGAAGTTGATCTTTACACCATTCATGACCATCTCCAACAGTTTGTAAACGACACTACAGAACCCGAAATTGCTGATCCACTTGCTCTAGTGATTGAAACTCAGACGAGAAGTACCGCTAAGATGCAAAAGAAGAAGAAAGCTGCAATCATGTCTGAAGAAGATGAAGGAAGTGATAAAGAGATAGACATGGAGTCAGAGATGGCAGAGTTGCAGAAGAAAATGGCACTCTTGACCAATCAATACAACAGAAGGTTTAAGAACACCTCATCCAACAAGCTAAGAACCTCCTCATCCAACTACAAACCAAAGAAGTTTGAGCAGAATTCCTCATAAAAGGCTGTTGCAGCAGAAGAACCTCCTAAATGCTTTAATTGCGGAAAGGCTGGACATCTGATCAAAGAATGTCGCCTACCAAGAAGGAGGGGCTTCAATTACTACAAGCAGAAAATGCTCCTGAACAAGCAAAAGATGTTCATGACAAAGCAAGAAGATGAAAATACTGCAATGCTCGCTGAGAAGGACCACTGGATGGAGGATGATTCTTCAGATGAAGAAGAAGAAAATCTGGCCTTGATGGCGGTTGTGGAGAGAGATGAAAGAAAGGGTGATGCTGCGATCCCCGAAGATGAAGAAGGTGAAAGCTCAAACAGCAATGTAAGTCCTTCTAAAAACTCATGTTCTTGCAAATGCAAAAATCTTTCTTTAACTGAAAAAGACGAAACCATTAAGGAGCTTGAGGCGAGACTTGATAACAATCACAAAGTTTTACTTAAGAACTTGAATAAAAATGTCTGTCTATCCTTGAAACTTGATGAGTCAACGAAAAAGGTTGAAAAACTGACCTTAGAAACAGACAAGTTGGTACTTAAGGCAACTGACTTGACTCGTGAGCTGCGTGATACCAAGACAGAGCTTAATCAAACACTTGGACTGAAAAAGGTTTTACATGATCAAAGAAGTGCGCTCTATAGGAAGATCAAGGAGCTTGAGGATCTTTTAGCTAAACGTGATCAAACTGAACAAACAATTTTCTTAAACCAGCCCAAGGATACACGTTTTTATAACTCCAAAGAAGGTCTTGGTCTATCGAATCCTTGCAACCTGAAAAAGGTTAAATCTAAACAACTGTATGATGACTACATGGGATTCGGTCTGACTAAGCTCATGCATTTTACTGCGGCAAAAGAAACGGAGGAACTTGAGGCTGAGAAAAGAACAAAAAACACAAAATCTCAAATCTCTTTTGATTATTCTTCTTTGAACAAAAGTTATGCTACAGCTAAACTTGTCTTTTCTTCTGATGAATGTGTGAGTCTTTATCCTTCTGAGAAGGAAGCTGTGTCTGATCTGGAACCCCCCTCGAACTCACAGTCTGATATAGATGAACCATACATTCCTCCTTTGATAAAGAAATTTGAAAACTTACATATTTCTCTTGAAAATCAAAGAAAAAGTTTTGAAGAAGAGAGGAAGAGTTTTGAGAGTGAGCGTGACAGACTGTTGAATGAACTTACTCTTTTAAAAGAACAATCCCAGTGCAACACAGCTTCTCAATCTACAAGTAATACTGACTCAACCATTGATCATGACAACAAAATTAAGAACATTTTTGAAAACCCACCTACTCACTCCAAGTCTCCTTCGGTTACAGGAACCAAAGTGAGTTGGAGATGGGAGAGGAGAGAGGAGTGGAAGTCAAGAAGAAGAGAGGTTGCTGAAGGAAAGAAGAAAGTGTTTTTGAAAAATAAGAAGTCTAGTTCTAGTGCGGTGTTCTATTCCAAAAATAATTGTAGCTCTGGCTTTGCTAAGCACTCTTGTAGCCAAAATTCAGTCTTGAGTCCCAAGCTGAATGTTTCTAAGATTAATGATGAACCTTTTGTATCTTCTGATAATGTTTATGAATGTGATGGCAGTTTTACTAGTTCTGATTTTGATAGTGATGTGAATGATGTTAGATGGAGAAGAAAGAGTGAACAAAATTCAAGAAAGAAATCTTCGAATGTTGAGGGCTATTATGACTTTTTGAACTTAAAATATCCCCTCAAGATTCATTCAAAGAAACATCTGAAAAGACTCTCAAAAGAAGCAATTTTTAAACCATACATTAATCAACATCCATTCACTCACAGTGATCATGACTCGTCTCCTCCTTCAATCAAACAAAAATGGATGCTTAAGTCTGAATCTGAAAAAGAAAAAGTTCAAACCCTGACTGAGAAAGCTGTTGACCTTGGATCACAGCTCAAAGAAAAATTTAAAAAGATGTTTCTTATTCATAAGGAAGGACCCATCCTACGGTGGGTACCTAAGAAAACTTAATTGTTTTGCAGAATGGCCGGAATAAGACACACTTAGATTCTGGATGCTCAACCCACATGACCGGAATAAGACATCTACTGAGCAACTACACGTCGTGTTACGGAGGAAATGTGAGATTTGACAACAACACATCATCTCCTATTCTTGGATATGGAGATGTCATCTGTCCGAGTGTCACCATAAGGGCTGTCTCATATGTGAAAGGTCTGAAGCACAATCTGCTAAGCATTGAACAGTTTTGTGATAGTGGGATGGAAGTGAAGTTCAAATCAAGGCAGTGCTGTGTGATTGACAGCTATGGGAACACATTATTAACGTGTAACAGGACATCAAACCTGTACACTATTGATCTGAAAAGTGTCCAAACAACTTCTTCCATCTGTCTGTTGTCCAAAGCCTCCTCTGAACATAACAGCCTGTGGCACAAACGTCTATCTCATCTGAAGTTTAAACATCTGATCTTTCTGTCCAAAAGAAAACTTGTGAAAGGGCTGCCTACTCTGAAGACTTTCGCTGACAACCATTGTGGTGCCTGCAAATTAGGCAAGATGGTTAGGAGCTCTCACAAGTCAAAACAAATTCCATCCTCCTCACAAGCTTTACAATTAATTCATATGGATCTGTGTGGGTCAATAAGAGTACAAAGCATCAACGGACGAAAGTACATTCTAGTCATTGTGGACGACTACTCTAGGTACACATGGACAAAATTCCTGAGGACAAAGGATGAAGCAGCAAAAGTGATCATAACCTTCATCAGAACTATTCAGAACTTTCTTCAGAAGAGTGTGCAAGTGACAAGATCTGACAATGGCACTGAGTTCAAGAATCAGCATCTCACTGACTTCTTTGAATCTTTAGGCATTGCCCAGCAATTCTCAGCAGCAAAAACTCCTCAACAAAACGGAGTTGTTGAAAGAAAGAATCGGACACTTGTTGAAGTAGCACGCACTATGCTCATACAGTCAAAGCTTCCTCACTTCATGTGACAGAAGCTATCAATACTGCGTGCTTCACTCAGAACAGAACATCTATTCACAAGCGCTTTAATAAGACCCCATATGAGATACTTTTCAACAGGACTCTTGATATATCCTTTTTCAGAATTTTCGGCTGCAAGTGCTTTGTTCTGAATGATAGAAGTGAAAGAAGCAAGCTCGATCCAAAAGCCAAAGAAGGTGTGTTTATTGGCTACTCCACGCAATCAAAAGCCTACAGAATCTAAAGTTCCTATACTCAATTTTTTTACCAAGAATCTCCTTCCTGAGCAATTTCTTTTTTCGTGACAATCTGCACGTAATTTCTCCTGCACACATTGACGAGATGTAATAGCATATTTTATACATAATATAGGTTTTATATATTTAGTAGGAATCCTTGTGGATTGGAACTCATTTATTGCCTATATATAAGATATCTATGGCTACCAGCCTGGTAAGCCTGATATCATTTCCACAGGTATAAGATCATAACTATATCACAGTTCATCACAAAGACAGGCACCACACACCTTATAAACTGAGTCAACCCTATATCTGTGTATAAACATTAGTTCAGGGGCTATCTACACTGCAAGAGAAATAAAAATAAATAGAAAAAGCTCAACCAAATTCCTACTTTAAGGGGGACAGCAGTGAAAGCCGGGATCATCAATGACTCTCATAGGCTTCCAATTAGATTCCTCCACCGGCTGCCTCAGAGCAACAAAGTGAAGAGCATCACTACGCACCTGGTACACATGACACGCCCATGGATATGAATTCGGGGCTGACCAAATCTTTTGTTCCTCAAACACAGCCTCCTCCACCAGCGATTCCGCCACACAGTACACGGAATTGGGTTCCGGTTCCGCAAAACTGGATACGGCGACACAACCGAGAGACACGTAGCCGTCTGGTGCCCGCGGATGCCAGATCGACACATCAACAGTGTAGTCATCGGAGCAGTTCCTCCAAACAAGGTCATAACCCATTGGGAGTATAAAGTCTTCTCTAGAATAGCGATATACGGTTGCCACATTTGGCGGATGGGCCCCAGTACGGGTTATATCCCCAATCGAGATGTAGCCTACCGGACAGATGGGGCGCCATATAGTACAGATCCCGGTTTCTTCTATATCCCGCTTTTGGCACAATGTACACCGTCCTTTAACCTCCGGTTCACTGCTCCAAACCTTTTAGGGTCCCAGAAAGTACCAGATAAATCAATTAGCAATGAAAACATAAAGACAAAAACTGGAAATAGAAGGAAAATAACAGATAGGCCTAATGAAACTCAAATACGTTTAGTTAAGAGTTAATACCATCTGAGTGATGCATTATTACTCACTTAATTTCATGCTAAACTCTATTATTAACTACATTTGGTTCTCAACTATTATATTCACTCAATGTGATCGGCTATAAAATTTGGACCCAAATAGATCCTCATACGTACATAGTACTGATTAAGAAGAGTGATTTGGTCAACTGTGTAAATTGGACCCAATTTAGTCACCCAATGAAGAAATTAACCCTGTTAATTACAGCCTCATATGCATGAGAACTATATTCAATTCAAACTGCAGCTGAGGATCAAATTAGCTCCAAAACAAAGTCGGTTACCAAATCAGTAATAGTGAATAGATGAGAGACAAAGTCAGGTATTAAGTCTTTTATTTACTTACTTGGCAGATCATAAAATATAAATCTACGACATCTAAATTTATGAAGGATTTTAAAAATAACTAATCATATTTCGTTTTCTTTTTTATATCATAAAATAAGAACCCAGCTTAAGAAAATAACATTTCTTAGATTTTTTTATCTTTCCCTGGGGTCCAAACATACCCTGGAGAAGTTGATAACTCGTTGGATGGATTTGTATTCATTAGAAGATGAAGAACAAGACAGCTCTCCACCAGCAGTTTCTCTAGTACTACCACCATCAGAATCATCCCACGCAAAGCAAACACGCCTTTGGCTAGATGGAACCTTTAATCTGGGGCTTTGCAGCAGCATGTCAGACTGGTTTGTTTTCCACCATTTTCGTAAAGCTGAACATACCTTAACAGCTTGAGATTCCTCCTCTGACCCTTCCTCTCCATCCGTAGTGCACTTTATAACCCGAACAAACTTTTCAAGTCTTTTGAAATGCTTAAGATGAATGATGAGATGGGAAGGTCTCGGGTACCCAGCTTTTGCCAATTCAAGGGCCAGGATTTCTTCCCAAGGTACGTCCCACATGATCTTGCAAGGTTTCTTGTCCATCTTGTCAGGTGACACACACTGCAAAAGCATCACACGCTTATTTGTCACTAAAACGATCCGTAAATAGGGGACCACAAAATGATCTTCATAATAATCCGACCAGGCAAACTTTGAGGGCTCTGCAAACAGTTCTGTACATCCGAAATGACGTCTTTCTTCAGCAAGATAAAGCATCATCTGACCAAGGGCTTCCCGTTCACAGTATTCTCTAAGTACATTGTCCGAATGGATAGCCCGTGGATACCTTATCCTATGGAAGCTGGTTTTATTGCTAAGTATCTCAATGCATCGCGAACAACTAGCTCCAATCCCATCGACGGTCAATGAGAAGAAATCCAGGGCCCCACTGACAGGTTGTACAATAAAACCCACAAACGCCTGTCCCAGACCGTGGGCAAGCCCTAGAAGCCCATTCCTTCTAGCACTCTCGACTGGTTTAGTCACAACCCCTGAAACCCCAAAAGCAACACCTTGTGCAAGAGCTTCTGTACCTTGAATGATTCCCTCCCCTACCCCCGTTATTCTCCTTGATCGAATTTGCTTTGACCGCAAATGTAGAAACTGCCCGTCTGTAGACAGCTCAGCGAAGCCTTTGCTAAGAGAGGCTAAAGTTGAACTTGCCATGCCAAGAACATCTACTGAAAATATCAAGTGAAGGGGATTGTGAATAAGATCTCTCCAGAAACGGTTACCTATGGAAGAAACTATTGAGCTTTTCCTCATAAACCTATCTCTACGCACAACCGGCCTCAAATGGACTTGAATTTTGAAAACATTCCCAATTGCTGATAGTATTGGACTCCAAACACCTAAAACACCACGAGGCCTTTGAGCAGGTGAGGGCTCTAATGACAACTTTAACCTCACTTCAGATATGTCAATAAGGTCCACACGTATTTCAGGATCAACTTGACTGATGTTTGAACTCTTCGGGAGGCGGTCGAGTTGAAGATTGTTATAGAACTCCACAAAAGCCCAGATGATGGGCTCGTGAATGTTAAGCCTCCAGCACTTATCAGTAACCCGTATATAAATGTAAGGGTAAACCTGAATTCCGTCAACACTTTCATTCTGCATAGTAACTGTCATTTTAAACACTGGATGATGCACATCAAGTGTTTGTTCAGGTGCCAACAACACAGGCATCAAAGTGAGAGCGAGTTGATTATCAAACTGCAAGTAACCGATTATGAGCTTGAACCTTCTGGTGGACCCACCATCATACCCAGTGGAATAAGATATGGAGACCCTCTCCAAGTATATATAGGATAATTCTTTGGGATTATGATTCACCACAGAAACCCCAATAGCACCCAACTCTATAGTAAGCTCCATCAGGGAACTTCTTCCCAAATTTACAGATTCCGTCAAAGAGGTCCCTTCATTTGGAAGTAAAGTTGACATGTTCTCATCCATGAACCTACCAACCCTGATATCATCCTGATCTATAACATGGAAAAGCAAGCCTGAACCATCACATCTAGAGCAAAACCCTGGCTTGTCCAAATCAAGTTTCATGACTGTACTGCTAATTCCATTACAGATCTCAGAATCAAGAACCTTTAGACCATATGGATCCTCCCACGAAAAGTTGGTAGTCGAAAAAGGTAATAATTTGATCCACGTATCATCGCCAAATCCAGACTGCCGAATTCTTATTATTGCTGTACTCGTTCTGTTCTCAATTCTATGAAGGAAAAGTATACATGATTTGTCAAAACAAGGATTGGTTTGGCATGTAATGAATTATGAAGTGTGGGTTCGCAGATATCTACCTGATAGGACCACTTGTGGGTCCAAGTCGAAATACAACAATGAAGCGGGATCCTTCCTCAAATCCACGAATTTCGGTCCTAATAAATCTCCGTGTGCCATCAGATTCCCTCAGTACCAGAGAGATTGTGTCCTCCTTTACAACTTGAATCGGAAACGACCAATTTGTATCAACCAGTCGAACCTGCACATATTCAGTGGCACAACAAATGAGCTCAGAAGAATGGGCCGATCTGGGAGTGGCACATTGAAGGGAAGAAGAGGAGGGAGGCCAGTTCCAAAATTCATTGGAAAAAGGGCATTCTCACCTGCAATGCATTTGGGACACTTTTTTGCAATTCATCTAAGCAACTTGCTTCACGAACTACAAACGCGACCCGGGCATCTGATGCGTGCAAAACCTTTGGCTCATCTTGGCTGCTTAACTTGATAAATAAACTTTGACCAACCCTATTTGTGAACGTAATGAATGGCCGGAAAGAAATAACCTGAAACATAAGTGATTAAACACTAATATTACTCTTCAAATTCTTTTTTGGGTGGGTAAAGGCAGGGGATGTAAGGGCTAGGGTGTGCTTGGAAAATGTACTTGTGAAAATCTGCAGTTTAAAGTGAAAAGAAAGAACCTTTGTCGAAACAGATTGATAAGGGCAGGGTTTTAAGGATACGAAAATCTGCATAGAGTTTCCATCAGCATCATAAGCACGAAGATCGAGTGACCCATCCTAAGAAAGAAAAAATGGAGAAATCAGTAGCAAACTAATTGAAAAATAACTACGGTAACTTTAAAACGGTAACTAAATACCATTTCACTGAGTGGAGATAGACTAGAAACGCGCCCAAAATGCTCCTCTCCAGAGTGGCTAATTGATGCCGCAATGCCAAGTTTTTTGAAGTTCAATGCAGATGCAATTGTGTAACCATCATGTATTTCCTCATTGGTGATTTCCTCAAGGATGACCTCACTATTACTTTTTGACTGAAATGGGAGAGACACCTTCCTGGGTTTCTTTACTTCCATGTCATTAAATCTCAATGTAAGCGGCTGGCAACCTCGTATAGCTATCCAGTAAGGAGAATAAACCTTAATGGCCTTAGCTTGAAAAGGCCTTTCATCAGCAAGGCTATGTTCCAGGATGATTTGAACAACCCTGCAGAACAATAGGTGTAAGGCACTTTGGGTCTATGAATAAGAAGAACATATCTTGAGACTCTGCAGGACAATCTAGCCAAACCTTCCAGAAATAGCACTTCGTAAACTGATCGTCTTTGATGGAACTCTACTAGGGTGGGATATCAGAACAGCCTCCTACACAAAACAGACACAAGTATGTGCAACAATAAGATCAAGGAAGCTAAGGTTCAATTGGAACATGGCCAGGAATAAAATATCGAGGTAACTAGGTAAGTATAAAAGAAAATTACAAGGAAATAAATTCTTGGAGATGATTAAAAAAACTCAAACTATATTAAATTATTTTATATATTTTTCAGTCATTTAATTATTTATTTCTTTTAATCCCTGCTCGAAAATATGTGTCTTGTTTTTCTTTTTTGGGTTGTCCCAAAATAAATGTCACCTTTCATATTTTGACAAGCAATATGTGGTTCATATCATTTCACTTTATTCCACCCAAACCTCAATCACAACTTTTACTTGCCAACCACATTATTAATAATTATGTCAAACCCAAACAAGACACATAATTCGGGACAGAGAGAGTATGTAAAGTCTAAGCTGTCGAAATATATACATATAAAGTTAAAAGGAACTTAATTTTATTTAATTTTCCTAAATTTTCCAAAATATAACCAAGCATAAGAAAAAAATCTTCAACGTCTGTTTCCTTTCCGCACTTTCCAGGACCCAAACATATCCTTATTTAGTTTTGATTTGGGAGGAGCAAGAAGTGACAAGAAACTAACATGTACTGTCAACCATCCTATTTGCGGACGCAATGACAGGTACAGTGGGTTCCTTATGTCAGCATGGTGAACCTTGACACAGTCGCCCGGGCTAAAAACTCCTTCGGTGCAGGTTAGAAAATGACCACTCTTCTGTGTCTCAAGAACAGAATAATCAGCAACAAAAGGAAGAAAATTGCTAATTGAGAGTGGAGCCTGAATCACAAGGGTCCAGTCTTGGATGGGATCAGAATGAATATCCTTTGCAATCTCTGTGGCTTTTATGCTCAAACAGAACCACTTGCTACTTGAACTACTTGATGTTCCACTAATTAAAAGGCAACACAAGAGTTCTTGTGACTCTTTGAGAGTAGAGATACATATCCCCGAGTTCTCTGGTTGCATACACATATCATGCGAGTTATTATGTGATCCATCAATAACACAACTCCATGAGTACTCTTCTTCTAGCTCGGGTTTTAATTGCAGGACATAGTGTCCAGACTGAGTAAGTACTGAGAGAGGAAGAGAAATAACTTCATTAGGTCTTAGAGGCCCGACACAAATTTGTGGTTTAGGATCTTCCGAAACATATGTTCTATGGCGAAACCACCTCCGTTGTCTAGCATAATTCACAAACTTTACTGGATTACAAGATTCTGGCCACTTCAGACTTTCAATGTCTGGAGCATAAACCCATCCATCAGCAGTTTTAACAGCACACTCATCAACATGCCATTCATCAATCCATTCACACCCGGATGGCAACCCGACTCCAGAAGCCATCTGTAGTGAAAAGAATGAAACCTCAGAAGAAGACGTTTTATAGAAAAATGAATGTAATTACGTAATTTCCTGTTTCCAACAAGAAATAATACGAGGAATGTGACAGCTCAATTTTCAACGGATGTAAAAAATAGAATCCTGATGCTGTGAGCTCCACATTAGTTCAAATAGATTTGTCTACAAGTTTACATGAAATCCAGACCAATGGACCATAGATAAGCTTGTTTTCCAAACTCTTCTTAAGCTCATAAGCTAAACAGCTCAAAGTCCATGTGTTTTCTGGGATAGTGAGGTACAACTCCCGAACAATGAACTTGACTCAATAATATAGGGCAAGTTTTCTAAAGACCTACCAGAGCTAGGAATTATACATTTACTTCATCAATCGATGTAGGATAGTTTATACTTCCTCCGTCCCATTGAACATTGCCTATTTTGATTTTGGTGTGGAATAAGAAAAGTAAAAGTTGTGCGGTTGAGATTTGTGCAGAGGAGAAATAAATAAGAACCACAAATTCATTACTTTAAAAGGAAAGTGGCAAAGTTTTTGGGACAAACAGAAAAGGAAAGTTGACTAAGTCCAATTGGACGGAGGGAGTCATAAATCATATGTGGCCTCTCCATGACCATTCATTTGTATAATTGGGTCCTCATTATAACTCTACTTTAGAAATTAAAAGCTATAGTGAAGCCACATACGCATATATGACTCCATAGTGAAGTCATATATGTTTCCTTAAAAAGTTTGGCCTTTAGATACTTTCCTATGTATTAAATTTATTTGACGCTTGGATACCTGAAGATCAACTTATTTTAGCTAGATATGAATATGAGCAGAAATTTCAAAAAAACTTCAAACATTAATGTAAAATGTAGTTATCCACGGGAAATTATTTACTAACACACTAGTCATGGTTATGTATCCTGCCAAGATTGAATTAGTTCATATACTACTGTTTTTGGGTGTCCTAGTGACAGAGAAGGCATTCATGAAAATTATTTACCACTACTAGTTAAATCGTTTAAGGATTAGAATAAGTTGCACATAATACCTTCAGTTACAAATACAAATTTCTCTTCATCCCAGCATTTTCGTGTGCATATCGTTTTTTGTGTATCACTATATAACGCATTCTTTATATTGTATCAAGCATCATATTAGCTACAAAATTTTTCAAGCTCAAAACAGTATACGAATTAAGGATTTAGAAAACAACTTACTGTGTTGAAGGATGGTCCAACCCAACCAGCAGTGGGGTCATACAATTGAGTTTCAAACAGCTCACAAGTAGAAAAATCGCTGCCATTCTCATTGTGGTCCTTTCTTTCAGTATCAGGCAGCATTATCTCATGTGAAGCTCTATATTTCAATCGCAAGTGCAAGGTAAATTCAGTATCATTACGTACTGAAACCAATGACCTAATATTCACATATCTGTTGCCTTCTGTTATGCTTACTTCACTGGCAACAACATCATTTCCTAACCGCCAACAAGCAGCAGGTGCAGCGTAGTTTAACCTCACTGTAGTCCATGGCCCTTCCCTTGTGGGACTAATCTGAATAAAACCCACATTTTTCTCCTTGTCAGATGATCCCTTGCTGATCTCTAAATCAGAATGAGACGACAAGTATAAAGCACATTTTATTCTTCCAGCTGATTTCACTACTCTTTCTTCGCCTGATGTGATCTACATAAACATGATATGGTTTAAGGAGAAAAACAATTGACAGCAATAAACTGACAATGCAACTTTTTGAAACTCAAGTAAACAAGAAATAAGAGTGAAAAAGCCTATAAAAATCACCGCAGGTGAGTCACAAAACAACTCTATCCAATTAAGCCCATCTAAATTGCCTTGAAACGCTATGCCTCTCAGCGGAACAGATGAATATCCAACAACATCACCTGCAAGGAGAATTGTCAAGAAATTAAAGGCACATTTTGAGTTCTATTTTGGAATGAACCCTGTAAAGAAGCAGTGCATCTAAACAACACAGACCAAGATCGGTCACACTTCCTCTCAGGTGTCAATCTAATCTGTAGAGCCATCAAAATGGGCCGAAACCCGCGGGCTGACCCGTTTAAACCCATTTATTGGTGGGTTAGGGTTGAGAATTCCTGACCCATTTAGTTCGCGGGTTTCGCGGGTCAACCCACGTGGGTTGCGGGTTTAAGTGGGTTGGCCCACCGGGTTACGGGTTGGCCCGCGGGCCAAAATACAAAAATAGAGTTTTGAATATTATTATCTCAAATATTGTTCTTTTACTACCAATATTATTATAATTACAATTAAAAAGTATTATTCTTTTATTTCTAAAATAAATATTCAAATAAAATGTTGAAACATATATTTTTTGTGAATTTTGATACAATATTTAACAATTAGTAGTCATTATTTGAAAATAATTAATCAAAAGTTTTATGTAGATCTTTATTTTCATACAATGAGTATTTTTGTCGCATAGCCTCTTATAGTTTTTAAATTCTCGTATTACTAGTATTTATTATTTTTTTAATTAAACTTACCAAGTATTGAATTTTTAGCATTTTGATTTCTTATAGTTCCTTTGTTACTACTTGCAAATATAAGTATATACTTCCGGGTAATTATTTTTTATATTTTTATTTATTTATTTATATTTTTTAACATTAGCTCGCGGGCCAACCCGTTTAACCCACGAGTTAGGTGGGTTGGGTTAGGGTTGTAGAAATTCTGGCCCGTCATTAAACGGGTTGGACCAACCCAACCCACATAAAGCATAACCCGTTATGGGTCGGGTCGGGTTGGGTTGGCCCGTTTGACAGCTCTACTAATCTGCCACTTCCATTAAAAATAGTTAATTATCTTCACAATTTATTCTAAGTACAAAAGCAAAACAAAAGTCCATAAATTTGATAATTCAGGTCCATCAGATGATAAGACATTATCTTAATTTCTACATTTCCTCAACAGGTCATATTAAGAAATAAATAGAAAAAAATTAAAAAGTAAAATACCTCTCCCAATCTCTGTTACTGTCAGCTCTAAATTGTAGAAATCCTACATAAGATTGAAAATCAGAATTGAGAATGGCATTAAACAAAGAAGGAAGCCACACGAGACAAAGGTCCATAAAGTTACAATCTGCTCCTAGAATCTCTGAAATAAAGGGATTTGTGTTCATGGATCAGAGAGTGTGACAATTCATCTGTAGTACTCATGATCCTAGTTAGGTGATCATTGTTTTAGTTCAGAGGTTTCTTCGTTCATCTTGTATTGTTATAAGCTTTAATAAATTCAAGTTCCAAGTTTTTGTTTTTGAAGTACTTTTCTTCTTATATTTTGTAAGCTTGGTACCAAGTTTTTGTTTTTGAAGTACTTTTCTTCTAATATTGTGTATCAATTAATAAGTATTCTTCCACGTCCTTCCTTTAGGTTTCTATCTATCATTTACATGCAGGACTTATGGTAAACAAAGAACGCGTGACTAACTACTATAGATCAAGACAACAAGTTAATAGATAAAGCATGTAATAATATCAATTATCCATGTAGTCAAAGTTTAGTGTTAGGACTATTGTATGTGGTGGTATATTTGTACAAAAGAGAAATAGTCAATGCATAACAATATACTCACCAGTGAATCGATTTTGAAGAAAAATACTTCATTCCATTTCAATGAAAAAACAGCAGAAGAGCCATTAGTGGTAATTCCACGAGTGCGAACACTTTGTTGGGGTAAAAGTGATAGACCAGGCTGGTTTTGATTCATGATACGGACAGCTACTGTAAAAAGATGAGAAGATAATCCTGCAACTTTCTTGAGCTGCATTTCAATGTAAAAATGTAAATATCAGATGAGCATGATGAAGCATAAGTCTTTGACTGCAAAATTTCCTATAGAATCCAAGGGTGAACATTCCAAAACGGATGCTGCAAACTTTCTACTTGGGGTGCTATGCTTTTGAATTTATATTTTGCATTGTTTTCTGAAAGAACCAGAGACAAACTTACATGTCATATTTTCACTTCCACTATATTAAGCAAGATGAGCACATGTCATATTTTCATTTCCACTATATTAAGCAAGATGTGCATGTTTACCTTCCACACTACTGAGGAGGCTAGGCATCATCCCCCCGTGTTTCATACTTTGGATCTCAATCACAGATAATGGACGAAGGCGAAAAACAGAGGTCTACGAGAAAACACTATCTCGTCCCAAATTAAATGGTCAGGGTTAACTTAATGTACAATTTTTAAACTTTTGATAGGGTACAACTGTCACAAGTCATACTTATATATTCATTGGTTTAACTAAAAACTTATCATATGTAATGTGTTTGTCACTTTATTTGATAGATTGTTGGCAACTTACATGAAAAATAAGGTTCATTTGATGAAACATGACTCTTTTTTAGGATGGAGCAAGTATTTGGTAAAAGTGATAATGTGATATAAACATACACAGAGATTGTACTTATTCCAACTCCGAAGCTTCAAGCAAAGATAAATTTCTTTAATTACTGGTAACTTTCATGAGTTGGAAGTAAATTGATACATTATAGAAATACTTGCGGATATATGACTATAATAAATGTAGTGAACATAATTGTGATTTTTTTTGCTTTAGTGATTATAATAGTAGCTTTAGTGATCATTATTATGTTCAAACTTACACTAAAATGACCATGCCGATGTAGTCATTGTAAGTTTAGTCACGTTTTTGTCCATAAGCTCTACTTTGATAATATTTAAAGAAGGGTCCGGTTCCAATAAAAAGTAGTCTTAAAATACAAAATGTGAGCGCCTCCACTTTTGAACGCCTGAGTTGCACTATTGCATTGAAAAAAAATTCGTCATCCACTATTGATCCTTTATGAATTATGACACACTATTGCACAATGGAAGTCCACTTTTTACAAAGAATAAAAACTTAGATTAATTTACGAAAATGTCACCGAGTTTTTCATCCACTTTGATGCATTTTTCACATATTTAGAGTCATTAGATCCTAAATCCTATGCTACAGATTTATTCCTATTTTTCATGGGAAGGACTATTTGTATTTGATCCCAAATCTTTAAAGAAATTCCCTAAATAGGAGTTCCAAAATAGGAGTGCTATGCTTTTTATTCCCTAAATTGGAGTAATGTACTCCTATTTAGGGGATGGCAGTCCTACATGGTTTTTCCACAAATAGGAGTACATTACTGCCAAAACATGGTAGCAATTTTTTAAGATGGCAGTAATGTACTCCTATTTAGGGAAAAACCATAGTAATCCTATTTTAGAAATCCCATGCATTTTTACTCCTATTTCGGGAATTTTTCTTAATATTTAAGGAAAAACCTCTACATTATATCTTTAAGAGCTTCAATATTTGTTCACATCCTTTCTAAATAAAAACATCTAAAAGAATATTTGTATCTTCCAGGCATAATAAATAGGGTTCATATTAAAACAGGCACAAAGATTGTAGGGTGTATGTTGGGAATAGAATATATTATTTGAAGATCACAAGATTCAAGCTATATGTTAAGGGAAACAACCCAATAAAAATGAAAAGGTGACGAAATATACCTCCGCCTCTTCTATGATGACTATCCCCATTGTTCTGCATTTAATGAAACAACTTCCTTTCATGTGCGAGTCCAACATGTTCTTTGCAACTGGGACTCTAATAGGTTTGCTATCTCCAGATGGCATTTTAACTACCTGTGTAGGCAACTCAATTCCAGTCGTTCTCATAAAAATATCTTGACCAAGCCTGTTCCGTGGGATGATGCAATGATTTTTTTTGTGATGGACGTCAATGATAGGTATGCCTCCATCAGTGGGAGAAACATTTTCCTGCTGAATAAGTGAAGAAAAAAGAAGAAAAGATTATATGTATGATACACCGAGGCTAGTGCAATCCACAAAACAGCAAATATATTGAATCTATAAAATTGGATGCTTTTGAAGACTGTTAGCTGATCATTCCGAAGTAATTAGGTCATATACGAGACTCTCTGAATCCACACAAGAACTCAGCTAAGCAGAGTAGGGAATATTACCTCATAAGTTTTGTTAATAAGGCCAAGATTGTTCCAGCTGGCATAAGCTTGAAAAATGGTATTGACATTGGATACAGAAACATTCAGATTCAGATCCCTTGTGGAAGTGAGACGTAGCTGTGAAGAAGCACCTGGAGCATTGGCATCATATTGGTACCTATATATGTATCACAGATTTAGATGGAGCATAAGGTGATGCATCTTAACTAGTGAACTAATATATGTGCTCCATTCCAATTATGGCACATTCTTGTATGGTGTTACACAATACACAGTACGAGCAACACAGAACATAATACCGGATACAAATTACAGGCCTCTTCACAGCCACTGCCCCCCCCCCCCCCCCCCCTTCCCAAAAAAACAGAGAGAAAAAAAGATGCAAGGCTTAGCAGCAAGGAAACCAAGATTGAGATCTGAGGAACTGATGATTAACTTGCAAGTCTTGGCAAAACAGTGATAAGGTTACCCCCACGCTTAATGCCCAAGACCAGCTACATGACACATCAATTAAAAAATAAATTTCTTTGTCAGTTCATCAAATAAACATTTAAAAAAAAAAAGTCAAAATAATTTTACTTGTATAGTTCTCACTCCTCATTGACACCCCCATCCAGTGGAAAGCATAGAAGCAGGATCTTTTTTTAAAATGTCATTTCCAGAGCTTGTCTTTTCAAAACATTCAATGGTTTCCTTAGGCGGAAGTCTTCATGAAGGCCTCTCTATTCCTAAGGTAAAGACAAGGTTTGTGAATCACTCACCCTCTAGAACTTACTTTTGAGTGGGACTTACTGGGATTGTTAAGTCGTTTTCAGAGAAAGGACATGTGCCTTGGGAACGACACAAAGTACAAAGACAAGTAAACTTGGAAACTATAACATGCATAACCTTCTACTACCTCCGTCCCACTAAGATTGGGACAAGAGAAGGTGGCACGATTATTAAGAAAAGTGGGTTTGTGTGGTTGATATTAAAATGATAAAGTAAGAATAAAGAAAGGTTTAGAGCCACACAAACTTTACCAAATTTGGTATAGGACAATCTTAGTGGGACTTCCTGAAAAGGTAAAATGGGACAATCTTAGCGGGATGGAGGGAGTATTATATTTAGAGCAACAAATAAAATACAGATGGAAAGTAATTTAAACCCCACCCCAGTCATTTCCTTTTTGCTTTAGTGGTTCCCGCCCTTCTCCCAGGTTTGATTTAAGCATTATTACTCAGTTTCTAGCTCAAGGAAAAATGCACCCATAACCAACATGAAATGCAATTGAAGTAATAGATCATGTTTCAAGAGTGCCTCAATATGAGATTTTATTAAAGAAGTATATATATAAGCATGTGTCCGTCCGTGCATACAAGGTGTATTTTATCCAATATATATATATGTATATATATATATATATTGAATCTTTGGATCACTACTACAAGCCGACATTGAGCATTTTGAATCTTTTAATCACTCTTTCGATCTGATTTCTATTGATGATGTTTAGATCTCCGAACATACTCCTGAACCTGATGGGTTTGCAAATCTTAAAGAATTCTTTCAGGCTACAATGACAAATGGGGTGGACACGCTTTCTCATTTTCTGCTTTACGAATTTGAGAGACTCCTTGCCTCTGCTTTGGGTAATCACGATATTTTGACTTTGAGGTTCGCGAGTGAAGGAAAATCTTCTAAAACAGAGACAGTATCAGGGCAAGCTGATCAGATCAAAGAGTCAGTGGATTAGGTATCACGAGTATGCATGCAGATTTTGATTGGGATTATGCAAATCCGGTTCATACAGAAAATATTTATGATGTTTTTTATTGTGAGGGAGCTTTTGGAGGACCGTGTTGTACATGTTTGGGAGACAAATTCCTTGGTCATGTCTTGGAGAACGAGAAAAGGATTCCTTTTTTGACAATGGAGGATCTGTGGGATTCTTTTTTTAACCCCAGGATGCTTCGGGGGGAGGGGGGTGGAGTAAACTGGGATCAATCTCACTCCATTGAGAATTGAACCCGAGACCTCCCATAAGGGAAAGTGAGTCGGTGACCAGCTGGGCTGAACCGCTTCCTCAATTGAAGTTATTTGTCAATTGTTGGTCACACGAGATAATTGTTAACCCACACAAAATTTGAATACCCAAAAGAGAATGTACAAAAAGAAGAATCAGCGAGCATATGATGAGAACTAGATCTCAAACACGTGCAGACCTTTTGGAGGACCGTGTTCTACATATTCAGGGAACAAAATCCTTGGTCATGACGTCATGTCTCGGAGAACGAGAAAAGGATTCTTTTTAGACAATGGAGGATATTTGGGATTCTGATGCAAATGAGGCTATTTGTCAATTGTTGGACACACGAGATAATTGTTTGCCCACACAAAACTTGAATACCCAAAAGAGAATATACATAGAGAAGAATCAATGATCGCATCTAATGAGAACTAGATCTCAAGAATGTGCGGAGCTTTGAAGGTTTTATTTAGGGTGGTTTTATTTAGGGTGCGGGAGTTTTATGGAGGGAGTCGTATCCAGTCTTTGGGTTGGGCATTATCTATTAGCTCATTTCTGTTTTACTTTTGTTTCCTCTTGTCCTTATTTTGTGTTTTTGATGTACATTTTATTGTGTGTGTGGAGGGGGGGTATTTTACATAAATATTTCATAACCGGAACTTCCTAACTGCATTTCATAAATTTTTTACATTTTATGCTATATATATTTGTGTGTGTGTGTACATATGATTTAGTAATCTTCCTGTCAGGAATTTCCTGACCGGAACCATGCCCAGCACCTCAATTCGAGGTGCTTCCAGGTTGAATTTTTGATGAAATTCTGTGAGCATGTTTGTTGTGAAGTGTAGATTATGTGCAAAAAAAATTCAGCTTAAAATCAACTGGGAAGTCAGTTAATAAATTATTGAAAAAACTGCACCAAAATATATATATAGAATGCAGTTTTTTCAAAGAGAAAACGAAGTAGGAGAAATAAATTTCTATTGTTTGGTTGTAAAGAAAAAGTAGGGGGAAACAACAAAAGAAAAATAGGAAGGGAATAATCAGAAAGGGACTATTTCATTTTCCTTCGAGTTTATTTAGGAAAACATTTTCCACGAAAGCATTTTTCCTTGCTTGCATGATTCAAAATGAAGAACCCCAAACTGCACAGTTGCAGTCTCAGCCTCAAGCACCATATCCATCTGGAAAATCGACATTGTTGAGACCCCAGCACCACTCGGGCTTACCGCTAAGACGTACTCCAAGTATGACACAGAGCACCAGCTTATTCTGACGGTTCAGGTTTGGGCAATCAGAGCATTTCTCTCCACCTGAGCATCAACCTAAGTTCTTGAATGGTGAAGAAGTTTTATTTGTAGTATCCAATCTCCTAGCAGGCTAGCAGCAACATCTTCTCTGGATTCATTGAAATCAGGAGACACAAAAGAGGTGGTCAACTTATTTTCTAATTTTTTCTTTAATGAAAAGTTCTTTTAACACTCCCTTTTCTTTTTCTTTCAACTTTCCCAAACCTGCCAAACTAAGGAAATCACTTTTTTACTTTCCTTTTCCTTGTGTTTCAGTGCTTCCGTACCATTTTCTTTCCACAGAAAAATCCTTATACTGAACATAGCCAAAGTGTTTGTGCCACTGCCCACAAGAAGGCAAATTCCCCGACCCCTCACATGTTCAGCCCCAAAGCAAGGCCTGCTGCTCACGCAACCCAAACCCTGAGCAGAAATTCCTCTTTTCGACCCAACACTCACTGCCAATTCTTCTCTATGATAAAATTTGAGATAAAAGAAGGCCTAAACTTAGACCTAGAACCTTCTCTAGATCACGGAAACACAACCATCACCAGAAACCATTTTTCCCGTGCAGCAGATGCGACCACAAAATAAGTAAACAACACTGTGCCTGATCACCAAGTCGTCATCAGCTTCTCCTTTGCACATGACAGGGATGACCACAACACGAGCATTCTTCCTTCACACAGGGCAGGCTTGAAAGCACGGGTAAATCTGTGATATAGCACTGGGATCGTCTCTGGTGCACCCCCACCCCCCTGCAAGCGGCAGAGACCACAACAAGAATAAGATACTTCTGCAGTTTCTACTCCTTTGTTGTGATCATCGGAAGTAAGTGCCAAGAGGATGTCAGATAAAAAAAACTTTCTAGCAACGGCACCAACCCCCATCCACAAGTCACACTGCTGGAACATCATCATAATAGGGATGAACGTTTGAAATTTGAAGGACTTTCATTTTTAACTAGTAACCTTCATTTCGAGTTAATTTTCTTTGAAATTCTGCCAATAACACAATAAAATTCAAGGAAATTTGGTTTGAACATGATGAATCCACCTGACAATGAATCTTCTCAAAAACCTTATCTCAACATCCCCATATCACATGTCTGAGTTTAAATCAAAGGCAAGCTTCTTGCAACAAAAAGAAGACAATGCCGAAGAGAATACTTACCAGCACCTATCGACAGCATCTCTGTCATTCGAAACCACCAGAAGACACCCGGACTAATTAAATGCATCAACTCACAAGCAATGGCAAATTGAAAATCATGCCTCTTCTCACAACCATCTAAACACAACTGTCTCCCGCTATAGTTCTTCCGAACTGAGACAATCGATCTTCTCTTGACCGGATCTAAACTGAATGACGTTTATCCTCATCATTCGGTGTTCACACTCAGATTCCTTTGCATGCAGCAAATAACGAAAGGGGCGAAGAAAGCAGTACGAAGTCCCTTTGAAGTTGGCTTATTGCTGAGAATTTCAGAGAAATGAAAGGACTATGTGCTGTGTGCAACACTGATTTTTAATGAAGATGAATGGTTCAGTACAAATATTTTAGATCTAGGCTGATATGAGGAAGATATCTGAACCGGCACCACCTTCAGATTTCTTTTGTAGAGAGGAGCTTTGGTTTTTTTTTTGAAGAGAGAAGCTCCCACTAGTGTAATTCCCAAACTCAATATGAGATTATACGCTATACTCATCAAATACAAACCCTAGGACTTTTCATCTTCTATCATATCCTACAAACAAGAAAATTAAATTCACACAATTCTGAATGGAAGTCACAGAAAAATCACCTTAATGATGTGTCAACTGGCTCAATAAGAGGTTCCCATGAATCATATTTGTCATTGTAAGATCTACCAGCCAAGGAGAAGGTGAAATTGGAATTAAAATTGTCAGACCGTCCATGTAAGCTAAAACTTACTCCACTTAAAGATACATTGCACAATGGAACCATCTGCAGGCAGAAAATTGGTTACATTGATGGGTTAATTTTTTCATATATTCTTAAAATCTTATCAAATGATCTTTTATTAGAAAAACTGAGGAAACAGAAAGTGATTTTAATGATGCATGCTTTATAATTTTTATAAAACTAGCAACTCCTATAGCCCCACAAAAAACTGAAAATTATGTTCAGCAACAATATGAAAAGCTTTCTAAAACGAGACACAACTAATGTCACACACTGGAAATTTTGGCACTAAAACAAAACTTCAACCGGACAGAAGCATGCTGCAATCAAAACTGTTGCATATTACACATCTTGTATACAATATATGATAGGCCAATTCAAAAGAGCTCATTGGCTAGTTAAAAATACCAAGAAACTTTGGAGTTCTCTAATTGTTTTGAGCATGAAAGAGAGATATCTCAAAAAATGCATAGACTACTTATTAAAGATTACTACAATCTTCACATTCATGACATAAAAGACACAGAATAGAAAGACTTCATTGTTTGCATAACAATTTAAGCTCTAGTTTTAAGGGTTGACGTAATGCAGTTATATCATATCTGGTTCATCTATTCAAAGTAAAAGGAAACTAAATTAATCAAATTTGACATTTATTATTAATTCGTAGCCAATGCAAAATAGCAATTCAATGGGAGGCAGGATTAAAATGCATTTTGCAAATGGAATTAGCAATTTCATAAATCTCAAAAACAAATCACACAAGAACTAGCCAATTCCACAGATTTCAGTTTACTTTCTTGGCCATATTGCAAGCTTATTGGGTTAGTTTATGACGGTACGAGAACTCCCAAAGAAATACAAAAAAATGACGAAGAAATCTGGTTACCAAGCCGCCATAATCATCAAAAAGAGCAACAGAAAATGTACTGATGTCTGCATGAACCAATGTCACATCTAAACCACTAGGGGCATCTTGATCAGCAAGCTTCAAAGCAAACCTCTTTGGAGGCTTTTTATAACCACTGCGGACAACAAATGTACCAAGATCATTCCCAATAACCCATACACTTAAAGGATGTTTTACAAACTTGATCTCAGATGTATCCCACACGCTTTCATCCAAAAACTGGGCACCGGTGACCATATCACTACGAATACATCTAAGGGAGGAAAAATCAGATGCTTTTGGCATGCCCTTACAAGCTATACAACCTAACAAAACAAACCCTGAAGGTGGTTGAGGCATCCAGAAGGATATACTGTCTATTGTTCTATGTTTCTTTATCTGTCCAACGACTTGAAAGTCAAAAGGAGCTTTGAAAAATTCTTCAGAATCATGAAGTACAATGCACATATTGGGAGGTTCATATCTGAAACAAAGTGCGAGGTCGGATCATGCCACTAATATGTATCATTTAATAAACAAAATAATAATAAAAATACCAGAAGAAAAACAATCTCCTACCCTTCAACAGCAATATCACCAAAATATACCATCCCTTGTGGTACAATAGGGCGCCATATAGACAATCTCTTTCTTGATCCCGATCCCTGATTCCACCAGATTAACCTAAATGTTGCAACAGCTTCAAACCTCCTTCCAGAGTTTACACTGGCCGGTTGTTCTGACTGGAGAGCATTAGTCTGATTAGAGGGTACACCAAATTCTGAACCTTTTGATGATTTTGAAGAATCTTTATGTAACCCAAAAAACACACGCCGCAGTCCATAAGCTCTACCAGCCAAACTCAAAGTAGCTGGATCTGCAGGGAGGAAGGTACCAACAGAATTGTCCACACGCCAAAATGCCAAACTAGTAGATCTGCCAATTGAGAATGAGATATTAGACCATGGGCCAAAATGCCAAACTATTGAATGGGATATTAGGCTATGTGACATAATGTCAAGTGCTATCCAACCCTGCCCCCAGATTGCTGCAAGTCCTGTAGCATGTGAACTAAAGATGGAATTCCCAATGGTGTGGGAAAGCAAAAGTATATTTTAAGGATGAATTCATGAAAAAATGTTCAAAAAATGAAAACTCGTACCTGCTGTTATTGCCCATGCTAATGCAGTCTCTCAAATCACATGGAGAAACCAAAGCATCTGAAATGCAGAAAACTGAGGATGGAGATGGTTGTGTATTTCCAGGAGAAGCCACACAACCCATAGCAACATAGCCTTTAGGCGCTTGAGGAAACCAAATAGAACAAACATCATCCCCCTCACTATCAACTTGGGACAGAGAAGAGGAAAAGACTAGGGTAAAAGAATCCGGTCTCTTCACTCTTACAAAGCTAGAATTGAGTGCAATGACTCCTTTTGTTGGAGGTTTATCACTGCAAAACAGAACTTATCAGCAGGAAGGCAAAATTGCAAGAAAATGCAAGAAAGACTGAGGAGTCTACTAACATTGGTGTGAGATAGTCACCAAGAATGGCATAACCAGGAGGTGCACGAGGTCGCCAAAACACATATATCTGTTCACCACCTTTGTGAAACAAAAATCAAGACATAAGTTGTTGCATCATTGCATTCATGCCTTAGATAAATAATGTAACCTACATTTGATAGTTCCGATCTTGTCGAACTCAGAGCACCCAAGTGTGACTTTCTTCGATGTTGTCCTCAAAAATGCCAAAACATCCTCTTCCACTGCCAAAAATAGTCTCAAAATACTGAATGAGAAATTCATAAATATATCTGAGACAGCAAAGTGCATATCTGTCTTTCCAGAAGCACTTGAGTACTTCATAGAGGTGTCAAAAGGTTCAACTATTCTGACTCCATTGCTCTCCATTGTTAACCCTAGAAACTTTGCATCTATTTCAGTAGTGTCTCCCTTTAAAACGACCCTATAAATGTAAAATAGAGTGTGTCAAAAGTAATGAAGTTTAAGGAGAAGAGTTTTCCAGAATTGAACTTGATAATCATTCCATTAATCTCTGGTGGTATTTATACAATCAAAGAGCTATTCTATAAGGAAAGAAAATATTCTAACATAATTATTCTAATAAACACAAATATACTTTTCCTTAATTAGAATGGTGTAACGGTACATAATATTTTATTTCTTTTGGGAAGAATCCTGGGATATATTTCCTTCTATACGCCCCCTCAAGCCAGGTATTCGGTCACTTGCAAGAATCCTGAGCTTGTCTTTGAAAAGAGTAAACCGCTGCCTTGGAAGGGGTTTTGTAAGAGCATCAGCGAGTTGTGCATAAGAAGGAATGTGAAGAACATGAAGAAGTCCCCGTTGAACACGTTGACGAACAAAATGAAAGTCGATAGCCACATGTTTCATACGGGAGTGAGACAGGATTTGCTGAAGATGTAGTGGCGCCCTTGTTGTCACACAAAAGAACAGGTGGAGACGTCAGTGGATGTCGTAATTCATGAAGAAGAGACTGAATCCATAGAACTTTAGAGGCAGCAGTGGACAATGCGCGATACTCTGCGCGATACTCTGCTTCTGTGGAGGATTTAGCGATGGTGCGTTGTTTGGTGGATTTCCAAGAAATGAGGGACTCACCAAGAAAGATTGCATAAGCACTAGTGGAAGATCTGTCATCCGGATTGCCGGCCCAGTCTGCGTCAGCATAAGCACGGAGAGGAAGAGAAGAGCTGCGGGGAATAAAAAGACCATGAGTGGCGGTCCCGTGAAGATACCGCAGGAGGCGTTTGAGGAGCTGCCAGTGATTGACAGTGGGTATGTGCATAAATTGAGCAAGTTTATTTATGGCGAAAGCAGCATCTGGTCTGGTAAAGTTCAAATACTGTAGTGAGCCAATGACTTGGCGATAAAGAGTAGCGTCACATAATCCCGAGCTGTCAAATAAACTTAATGAAACTGATGAAGCCAAGGGTGTGGCCACGGGATTAGCCTCATGCATATTCATGATGTGCAAGAGATCAGTGATGTATTTGTATTGATCAAGAAAGATGCCATCTGGTGTAGGGGTGACCTGGATGCCCAAAAAATAATGTAAGGACCCTAAATCCTTGATAGAGAATTTGTGTGCCAAAGATGCAATTGTTTGCCGAACCAGAGCAGGAGTTGAACCAGTAACAATAATGTCATCCACGTACACTAGAACATAGATGTAAGATGGATGAGATGAGAATATGAATAGACTGGCATCTGAAACGGATTGCTGAAAACCAGAGAGAGAAGAAAGCCACTGAGGGATTGATACCACACACGAGGTGCCTGTTTGAGATCATAAATTGATTTGCGAAGACGACACACACGGCCAGACCCATCATTGAAACCAGGGGGCTGTTTCATATAAACTTCTTCCTGAAGCGTGCCATGTAGGAAGGCATTGTTGACATCCAATTGATTAACAGGCTAGCCATGAAACAAAGCAATGGTTAACACCACTCGAATGGTGACAGGTTTGACCACGGGACTAAAGGTGTCAGAATAATCGATCCCCGGGCGTTGATGAACCCTTTAGCCACTAAACGAGCTTTGTAACGATCCAGAGAACCATCTGCTTTATACTTTACAGTATATACCCATTTACAACCCACAACATTTTGGCCCGAAGTAGCAGGGACAAGATCCCAAGTACCTTGTTGAACCAAGGCATCAAATTCCATTGACATAGCTTCTCGCCATTTTGGTACCTGTAATGCTTGAGAAGCACAAGTGGGAATAACATGATGATGTAAGGAGGATTGGGTAATAATGTTAGCTTGTTTACGAGGTCGAAGAGTCATTGGATGAGTGTGTTTGGGTGGTGAGATGGGAGGTGGTTCAGTAGAGGTGTTATGGTTAATAGGCTGTTTGTCAGGAGATGATATACTAGGTGGTGGGTGTTTGGATCGGCGTTGGTAGGTGATAAGAGTAGGAGGGTTAGGTTTAGAGGAGGGTGGTGGGATGGGGACAGTAGAAGGAGAAGGAGGAAGGATATTAAGTGATTCACCACGGGAAGCTTGTTGATCCGGGGTATGAGTAATAGGAGACACTGCCATCACTGTAGTACCTGAAGTAGGAAGAAGGGAAATAGGTGGCTGAAGCCAGATGTCAATTTCTGAGGGTAAGTTAGTGACTGGTTTGGTGGTGTGAGAGAAGGGGAAAACTGACTCATCAAACACAACGTGTCGGCTAGTGAAGATACGGTTAGTGACTGGATCTAGACAACGGTAAGCACTTTGTTCGTCACAATAACCTAAGAAAACACATGATTTAGATCGAGGCTCTAACTTATGTGCCGTGTAAGACGACAAGTTTGGTATAGTTAGGAGGATGATGAAAAAGTTTTCATAGGGAGTACAAAAATTTAGAGATGCCGCCAGTTGTCTATTGATTAGATAAACTGCGGTAAGAAAAGCATAAGACCAATACTTAAGCGGCATAGAGGCATGGTGTAGTAAGGTTATCCCTGTTTCCACAATGTGCCGATGTCGCCGTTCTGCAAAACCATTATGTTCTGGAGTATATGGTGGGGTGAGTAGATGAGAAATACCACATGTGGCAAGGTATTTTCCAAGAGCAATGTACTCGCCCCCTCCATCGGAATAAACTGTTTTAATTTGTCTTTGGAAAAAGGTTTCCACAATTTTCTTAAATTTCCGAAAAACTGTGGTGACTTCAGATTTATGAGTGAGAGTATAAAACCAAATATATTTGGTAAAATGATCGACAAAAATAACATAATAACGAAAGCCATCAATGGAATTAATGTGAGAGGGGCCCAAACATCTGTATAAATGAGATCAAGGGGGCCTGTGCTAGAAAGAGAAGACTTTGCAAAGGGTAACTTGTGACTTTTATTACTCGCACACGACACACATAAAGAAGTATTTTTAATAACATGCTTGGAAGAAATACCTAAGGATGAAAGAATTTTTTGAGTAATAAGAAAGGCAGGATGTCCTAAACGACAATGCCAATTATTAAAAGAAAATTTCCTAGCAACGTTAACACATGGAGGAGGTGGAGTGGGCACTTCAGGAAGGCTGTAGACATCACCGCTATTCATACCCCGTAACAAAATTGCTCCCGTTTGCCGGTCCTTAACAAGACAAAAAGAAGGATGAAATTCAATTAGTACATCATTATCCCGACATAATTTAGCTACGGAAATTAAATTTGTGTGAATGGATGGGACAAAGAGTGTATTAGGTAGAGAGAGAGAGAGAGTGAAGGGTCATATTCCCAACTTGTGCAATTGCAAGACCTTTACCGTTACCAATAATGAGAGAATCAGTGCCAGTGTAGTCGGATGCCAAGCTCAAGTTATTCAAATTATTAGTGACATGATTGGTTGCACCAGAGTCAAGCAACCACCCATTTCTACTTGTTGTGGCAGTATTAGCCTGAGGAGGATAGGCTTGTTGTTCAAAACGGTGCCAACAATTGAGAGCAAGATGATTCGGCTTCCCACAGATTTGGCATGTAATATTGCCAGAATTGTTACCCCCGGGATTATTGCGTCCACCCATGCTGTTTTGGCCTCCAAAATTATTGACTCCACGTCGGTTCGGGTGGACTGAATTATTGGGTCGCTGGGTTCGAGCCTGACTCCTGTTATTGGTGCGATTTTGATTATAGGTCCGACTAGCTGGGATTTGAGTTGTACTTGGGCCAGGGCCCAATATAGAGGGGCTTTCTGGAGTGTTGTTTGTCTGTCGACTCATCAGTCCAAGTGCAGAGCTTTCTGCGACCACCGTATTCGCAGTAACAACGGGAGAAGGAGAAGTGTTTATAAACTCTTTTCGTTGAAGTTTTTCTACAAAACCCACGAGCAGTCCATACACGGTCTCAAATTTAGGAGCGACTAGTGTTTGGATGGAGTTTTCCATCGACTCGAATTCTGGACGGAGTCCCTCAAGTACCTGCAGAAAAAAGTCTTCGTCATCCACTGGTCTTCCTGCCCGGGCCAGTTCGTTCGCCAGATTTTTGAGGTGATGGAGATATTCACCGACGGGCTGAGACCCCTGCTTCGTATGACGGAACCGATCCTTAAGGTTTCGGATCGTAGAGGCAGACATAGTTCCATAAAGTTGTTCCAATGTTTTCCAGACAGCAGCAGAAGTCCGAGCAGAGCTAATCAAGGGTTTGCAAGTCGTGTTCAAGGAAGAGACGAGTGCGTGTCGTAGAAGACGATCCTGTCTGGTCCAGAGGAGGTGACCGACAGTGTCACTTGTTGGCGGTGGAGTAGCATCCTCTTCGATATACTGATTCAAGTGTGAACCGAAGAGAAGATCAAGGACTTGGTCTCGCCAAATGATGTAATTCGACCCATCTAGTTTTTCTGGGAATTGACTACGGTTGAGCATGATCAGTCCATCGGGTGTTAAGGTGTTGTTGACAGAGGTAGAAGCAGTGTTTGGGGTGGGTATGAATTGGCTAGTGTTTGCGGTGGGGTTAGTAAGAGAGTTTCCCAGTTCTTCATGCTCCTGGGAGTCCTCTGGGCGTGTGGCTACGTTTCCGCCACCAGCCATGGAGAAAGGGCTGGTAAAAGCTCTACGGCTCTGATACCATAATGAAGTTTAAGGAGAAGAGTTTTCCATAATTGAACTTGATAATCATTCCATTAATCTCTGGTGGTATTTATACAATCAAAGAGCTATTCTATAAAGAAAGAAAATATTCTAACATAATTATTCTAATAAACACAAATATACTTTTCCTTAATTAGAATGGTGTAACGGTACATAATATTTTATTTCTTTTGGGAAGAATCCTGGGATATATTTCCTTCTATAAAAAGGAGTCATTCTTGTTTCACCATTATCTCACAAACTAAAACAGGCAAGTGATACATAATAAATTGAGAAAAGAATGGAGCATAGACCATAAAGAAAACGGTACATTATCAAATTGTTGTTTATGAGTATTCTCAATTGATAGCTGAATGGTTTCCTAAGCTCAAGTTCGAAATCTAAGAACTCGAAATTTTCTCAAATTCTTTACTTTCTCAATATTATAGGAATCCTATACAATGAGACCCCGCTTGGTTCAAACAATGTTACCTTACTTTGGGAATGTTAGATTGACAGGAATGAGCTAAATGTGTCTCCTTGTGTTTGATTAAGATTAAAGGAATGACACATTAACTTGTTTGATTGGATGTTATCCAATATAGCAGAACTAGTATTTACTTTAACGCTCCTCCATAATTTTTCATCTAACATAAAAAACTTGCAACCTTAATTTCAATAACTTTAGCTAAGGCAAAGATTAAATATCTTAATTCTTAATCATAAAATAAAATACGGAGCACAAATTAAACAAAAGTTGAGCATGGATATATTCATTTTTAAGCAAAGAAAATTTAAATTTATTAATGGCAAAGACTCATTCTGCTTCACATCAAGCACCTAAATGAGAAAAAACTTTATTTCAATGTTATTCAAATATGTACTTTTACCCAGTCCACAATACAGTGAGGAAGAAGTGGCTGAGCTAAAGATGGAATAACCAAAAAAATATTAAATAGGCAGAACATGCAGACGGTACTCTAGGAAGAAGAAAAAAATATACTAAGGAGTGAAAGGGATTTAGTTTGGATCGGGAAATGTTTACTACTTTTCGAAGCCTGTTCTAATGGAACCTGTTTTCCGGTTCTGTACTTCTGTATTACTATTTCTCAAATTTCAGTTTCAATTATCCAGGTTTCTATTTATGCTTTCCAATTTCCTAATGGCGGTTTCAGGTTTTTCAATTTCATGTTCTTTAATTATAAAATACTCCATCCGCCCCATTTTATAAGATACACTTTCCTTAATGGGTTATCCCAAAAATATGAACACTTTCCTAAATTGAACACACCTAAAATTTTTACTTGCCCATTTTGTCCCTTAATCTATCATTTCACCATTTACTTTTGTGGACTCATCTTACTTTTTCTTGCATTTTGGATGTTAGAATAATAAAAAAACACTTTATCCTTTATTTTCTTAAACCGCGCCAAACCCAAATGTATCTTACATTAAGGGACGGAGGGAGTATAATTTTAACAACACATATATGATGTCGGGACCACATGCACAAGCAACAATGATAGACAGGATGGTAGTGTTCGGCGGCACTATGGTGGTTGGAGACAGTACTAGCTGCAACAGAGGCGGTGGTGGTCATTAACAGTGGTTGTGACAATGGTTGCTAGCGATAGCGGCAGTCAGTGATAGGGCAGATTAACTTGATTTGAAATCGAATAGAACTTTTAACTCGTACCATCAGCACAAGAACAGTTTTTGTTTACATAAAATTCATAGCAATGCTGTACTGAATTTTTTTTAACATAAAGTAACAAGTTTTGATGAATAAAAAAATTATGGTACATAAACAAGAAGTTGGTATATTTCTATCATTTGCAATGGAGCCAAAGATTCATTATTTTTTGGCTTGAGAATATGATGGAATAAAGCAAAATGGCTCACCAAACTGTCTGTTCTTCTTTGTTATGAAGCAGCGGTCAGCATGCAATTTTGGACGCGATTTTCATTATGGGTCATCCGGAAACAATCTCTCTGTGCTTTAGTACAGGGGTAAGATTGCGTACATCCGACCCCCCTTACCCCACCATAGGTGGGAGCCTTTGCGGCACTGGGGTAAATGATGAATGATTGAAAACAAGAAGTTGGTATGTTGAATTTTATTATGCCAACATTCATATACATGATATTGGTGTATTCCAAAATACAAAAAATAACAATATTTTTACACCCCTAGTCTCATGGCATCGACGATGTCAGTGATTATGGTGATAGCAATGACTACATTTAGTAATATAGTTAATCATAGCAACAATGATGTTACTCGTAGAGTCGTAGAGATTGTTTTGGAGTTGATTTAAATCATGAGAGGTGAGTGGAATAGGGGTGAGAGTAGGGTAGGCTGGCGAGGTCACTGACAATTGGTGGAATATGTGGTTATCATAGTAGTAGTTCCATGAGACATTATAACTTTGGAAAACTGTTCTCTGTGTGAAAAAGTGGAAAACACAAAAAAAAGTTCTTTAATTTTCTGGAAAAGCAAATATATTGCAGAACTGTTCTCTAAATTGGAAAACTGGTTAAGCATGCATGTTTTTTGTTTACTGCTCTATGCTTACCAGTAAAATAAAAATAGCTTTTTTTATCTTGAGCCCCTAATTCACATAAATACCACTACACAGTAACTATTCATATAATTCATTAATTTGACTACTGATCATCATCATATTCATTTACCCCAGTGCCGCAAAGACTCCCACCTACGGTGGGGTAAGGGAAGGGGGTCGGATGTATGGAGTCTTACCCCTGTACTAAAGCACAGAGAGACTGTTTCCGGATGACCCATAGTGAAAATCGCATCCAAAATTGCATGGACTGACTGCTGCTTCATAAGAAAGAAGCGCAGACAGTTTAGTGAGCCGTTTCGCTTTATTCCATCATATTCTCAAGCCAAAAAATAATGAATCTTTGGCTCCATTGCAAATGATGGAAATATTAATTTGACTACTGATACCATACAATAATTCTCTCTTATCCTATGTCAGTTAATTTATTCTCTAGTTGCTCACACCTCACTTATGGGAGGCGGCCCTTGCCAGACGCTGGACCACCACTCACTTTTCTGATATAAAAAAATCCTAGCAAAATACCTATTTTAGTCAGATATCACTTCCAGTGTAAAATTTAAATTTTACTTCCGTACAATTCTTAGGAAGATTTTTCATGCTATATGAGTATAGCATAGACAAGTTTAAAAATGATGGATATAAAAAAAGAAAGTTATCAATGAAGACCATAGCATAAGGGAATTATTAAAAAGAAATTATTCTTGGAATCTTGGATGATGGGTGAAAAACAATGTGTATGTGTGTGAGAGAGTTCAAGTATGAAGAAATGTATGCCATACCAAATAGATATACTTACCTGCAGAATGCATCTAACTGAGCATGCAAAAGTTTGTTTAAAAGCGCAAGTGAATCTCCAACATCTTTGGAGGTATTGTAAAAAGTAAGCTCTGGAGCAATAGCCTATAGAGCAAATCCATATTTGAAAGAGATATGAGCAAAATTGAAAAAAACAAATCTAACTGCCAAATGATTGTATTAGCGAATGTATGCATGCAATAAAAGGAAGGATAGTTTAAGCAGGTCAAAGAACATTGCAAAATGTTGTTGGTACACACATTTTGTACACATATGGTGTACACCCCCTCTAGTTGTCTGTCTACACAGGCAATTCATTTAGAAGCTGCTTTGTAAACAGAAAACTAGCCAAGGTGTACACCATATGTGTACAAAATCTGTGTACACCAAGTATGTCATTACACAAGAAGAATTTGCATAATCCATCGGATAAAGAATTTCCAGTCAAAAATTGTAGATGCATTTAATTACGTGCAGATCTATCATAAGCAGTTAGCACACAATTGTTGTGGGCCAGAAAAAACCAACAATTTGAATGTGGTTTAGAGAGCCACTCTGACCTGCATCTCGAAGATCAACTCTGTAGATTTGCTGGCTGATGAACTATGAGAAGTCTTTCCAGAAATGGTTTCACTCGGATGGATCTCAGAAGGCCATAAATCAACTTCCTCCAGATAAACTTTATCCTCTTGTGAAACGGAATAGCTACTATTTGGCCCAAGTAAGACAGCAGAATCTAGATACTTCCCATTCTGCCAAAACAAGTATATATTTGCATTTTTAAAGTTCCCTTATAGAAGAGGAAACAACTTAAAATGGTTTTCAAACTAAATTTATTGGTGTTAAAATAATAATTCTGAAATTTTTCTTATTAGTCAATTTTAATAGTTTTGTACCATTTTATTTATTAAAACTTCATATTAATGTTAAGATTTCCAGCAGTTTATATTGATAAGTCGAGCGAAATTAGTTTGTTATCATTGATAGATACGGGTATGATGCAGGAAGGCATAATATATCAATATTCACAGGTATGATGCTGGTTAGGTTCTGCAGATCGTGCTGCACTGACATCTTTAGGTTAATAGAGCATACCTTGATCGTGACATTTATGAATTGCAACTTCTTTCCACTACCCACATAGATAAAAGCCTCGAGACTTGGGGAGGAAAGGTTTTTTCCCAGCCTGTCTTGCAAATACAATACTCCACCTCTACCATCATATACAAAAAGATCATATCTTTCATCATCAGCAACCAAAGGGTTGAGTGGAGAGAGTGAGCATTCAGGACAAGGTTGAGTGTAAGTTGGTTGATCGAGAATAAGAGCATTTATTAAACCTGAGGAGCTCGTGTCCTCGTCATTTGACAGCATGCTACGTACTGTGGGAACAAAAAATTCAGTTACAGCAAGCAAAAAATCAAGTGCCACTAGCAGTTGTGGTCTCTGAATGCAGAGAAATATTGATGTCAAACATTCCCCAAATTTGGCATCAAGAATAACCATTGTGGGGCTTGGTGTCATGTCCTCCATATCATTAACTGTGATCACACGATTGTTATCCACATATCTCGAAGTTTTTGAAGAACTAAATCCAACGGCATCAGGTTTCCTAATAGCCAACTTGAGTTCCTCTTGGATGCCTTCTCGATCATCTACTACGGAAAAATCCCCAAGTGTAGCTGAAAGAAAGCCTTCTCCTGCAGTATTGGCTTTGTAAAGAAACCACAGCCCACTCACCTTAAGTACAGCAAAGTCTTTAGTTAGTTTTTTTTATACATGAAGTCTTCAATTAGTTGAACGAAAACAAGCAGTAACAAATGTAATTAAGAATCTATGAAGTGTCAATGAAAATCAGAAAGCAAAACTGTACTTAAGATTGTTAAAAGGGTTAAAGCAATTTAAGTGGACTTCAAGAGCTGTTAAGATAGAAAACAGAAAACCAAACATGCAATAGTTAGTCAAAGACTATATAGCAAACAACATAGTTAAGGCAAACTCATTTACTTAAAAGAGAATTACCAGGCCACGAAGTCTTATTTATATCAAATGTGAGACTAACTAAACTCTAACACCATCAAGGAGAGGATGACCACAAGATACCATAGGTGCAAGAATTATAGACAATGTCCCGGGGTGTTAGTTGCTTGTACCCGAGCTAGTATTACTCGGCTGGCATGGTCAAGTAGAAAACTTTAAAACTTGGTTGGATATTACCTTATTATTCTAGCAGTTAAGAAATCAATTATCCCAACCGGCTAATCATAATGCATGTCAAGTTCTATTATCAAATAGTATGCGTATTCCTTCCTGTTACACGCTTCCAGAAACCCTTATTTGCTCTGCATCTCAATCAGTGTCCCCTATGTCCCCTAACTCATTGACACAAAAAAAACTTCATCCCATGCCCGATGTGGCTGTCACATGCATGACAAGCACAATTGGATTGTAGATTTATAAATGCACAAACACAATTTCCGGCACAACGGAAGGTTAAAAGAAAATGAGTCTTAACAATAATTTCGTGGAGAAAAAACCATTGGCCACTCCGATGTAAACTCTAGAATGCAAGAGGAGCATAGCATTTTAATTAATGATCCCTCAAATTTGTAAGTGGAAAGCATATTCGCAAGCACAAAAATGAAGCTGTCTAATGTGGACTATGTTGTCTGTTAAATTAAAAAGACTACTGTTATCAGAATATATAATAGTAATGAGAATGGAAGAATTTTCTGTGTATTTCCTTGGAGGGATAAGTCCCTATATATATACATTACAAAGATAGAATATTCCTATAAGATGCTATACAATAATAATATCTTAGAGTATATTCCTAAAATATTCTAAAGCATATTCTAAAGATAGAAGAATATTCTAAAGCATATTATTCAGCATATTCCAATGTCTTTCACACTCCCCTCAAGTTGGAGCATAGATATTTATCATGCCCAACTTGTTACATAAATAACCAACACGAATTCCATTTAGTGCTTTAGTGAACAAGTCTCCAAGTTGCTCTCCCGTCTTCACATATCCTGTAGAGATCAATCCTTGTTGTATCTTTTCTCGAACAAAGTGACAATCGACCTCAATATGTTTTGTTCTCTCATGAAACACTGGGTTGTTGGCAATGTGTATAGCAGCCTGGTTATCACACCAGAGTTTAGCAGGCATTGGTGTCTTCAGTCCGATTTCACTCAATAGATGGTTTATCCAGATTATCTCACATGCCGATTGTGCCATAGCCCGATATTCTGATTCAGCACTCGAACGAGAAACCACATTCTGCTTCTTACTTTTCCAAGAGACGAGATTACCACCAACAAAGACGCAATAGCCAGATGTGGATCTTCTATCATCTTTAGATCCAGCCCAATCAGCATCTGCAAAGCATTCTATGCGCATGTGATTATGATTTTGATAAACAATACCTCGTCCTGGTGTCCCCTTCAAGTAACATAATATATGCTCTACAGCATTCCAATGATCAACTGTCGGAGATGACATATATTGACTTACTACACTCACTGAGTATGCAATATCTGGACGGGTAACTGCGAGATAATTAAGCTTTCCAACCAACCTTCTATATCTTTCTGGATCTTCGAATGGTACGCCTTCATGAGTGAGCTGCACATTGGGAATCATGGGAGTATTGCTCGGTTTTGCCCCCAGTTTCCCTGTTTCAGTTAGCAAGTCAAGCACATATTTACGTTGAGATAGAAATATGCCTTTCTTGCTCCGTATAACCTCAATCCCCAAGAAGTATTTCAATGAGCCCAAATCTTTCGTCTGGAATTGACTATGAAGAAAATTCTTAAGAGCCAAAATATCTGCATTATCACTCCCTGTAATCACAATATCATCGACATACACCACAAGCAATGTGATACCTGCTTTTGTTCGTCTGTAAAATACAGAGTGATCTGATTTGCCCTTTATCATTCCAAATCGTTCAATTGATTGACTGAATTTCCCGAACCATGCACGGGGACTCTGTTTCAAACCATAAAGAGACTTGCGAAGTCGACACACTTTTCCATACTCCCCCTGAGCAACAAACCCTGGAGGTTGCTCAATATAAACTTCCTCTTGAAGATCACCGTGCAAGAATGCATTTTTAATGTCCAACTGATGTAAGTGCCAACCATTAGTTGCAGCGAGAGAAATAAGTAACCTGACAGATGTTAATTTAGCAACAGGAGAAAAAGTGTCAGAATAATCAACACCATAGGTTTGAGCATAACCCTTCGCTACTAATCGGGCTTTTAAACGAGCAACGGATCCGTCAGGGTTAACCTTTACAGCAAAGACCCACTTACATCCAATAGATTTCTTCCCTGTAGGCAAGTCTACCAAATCCCAAGTACCATTAAGATCCAAAGCATTCATTTCCTCTACCATGGCATGACGCCATTCAGGATGAGACAAAGCGTCTTTAACAGATTTGGGAACAGAAATAGAATCAATGGAAGCAATAAAAGAACATGAGGTAGATGATAACTGATTATACGACACAAATGAAGAAATAGGATGAGTACAAGACCGTGTACCTTTACGTAGTGCGATAGGGAGGTCAAGATCTGATGTAGAGGCAGGATCTGGAGATGCAAGTATTGGTTCAGGACATGAGATCGAGACCGGATCAGTATCAGGATAAGTAACCACAGGTGGAGGGTGATCTTGTACTTTGTTTCGACGGGTGTAGACCAAGTGTACCGGGGGCCTAGGCTCAGGAAAAGTAACATGTGGAACAACGGCTGAAGCAGTGGACTCGGGTATAGTGACTGTGTAAATGAGTATATCATCATTCTCCTTACAAATATTTGTCTCTGTTGATGAAAACGGTGTATTTTCATAAAAGGAGACATCAATTGAAACAAGATATCGACCCGTACTTGGACAAAAACATCTGTAACCCTTTTGAACTCGAGAGTAGCCTAAGAAAATGCACTTTAATGACTTGGGATCTAACTTTGTTAAATGGGGATTAACATCTCGTACAAAACAAGTGCAACCAAATATTTTAGGAGGGATAGGAAAATTTTCATTATTTGGAAATAGGCACTGATATGGAGTTTTACCATCCAAAACAGTAGATGGCATTCTATTGATCAAAAAACATGCGGTAGACACGGCATCTGCCCAAAACTGTTTAGGCACATTCATTTGGAATAGAAGAGCCCGCGCAGTTTCTAATAGATGTCTGTTCTTTCGTTCATCAACTCCATTTTGTGGAGGTGTGTCTACACATGAAGTTTGATGAATGATGCCATGTTGAGCCATATACGACTTAAATGAGGAAGACAAATATTCTTGAGCATTGTCTCCCCTTAAAATACGAACAGGTACATTAAATTGAGTTTTAATTTCAGCACAAAAGGCACAGAAATGAGAAAATAACTCAGAACGACGTTTCATGAAATATATCCAAGTCATACGAGAATAATCATCAACAAAGGTAACAAAGTACCTAACACCAGTTTTGGACACAACAGGGCAAGCGCCCCAAACATCAGAATGAACAAGTTCAAAAGGAGCATGTGCTCGTTTATTGACTCGGGGACTTAAACTAGTTCGATGATGTTTTGCAAATTGACATGAATCACACTGTAAAGATGACACCTTATTAAATTGAGGATGAAGTTTCTTTAACAACGGGAGAGAGGGATGGCCTAGTCGATAATGAGCCTCTAACACAGTTCCAACTCCAAGACAAGAGATGGATTTGGGTAAGGATGTATCCAAGAGATAGAGACCAGCCGACTCATATCCTTTACCAATAACCCGATTCGTCACCAGATCCTGAAAAACACAATATCCAGGAAAAAAAGTTACAGAGCAATTAAGATTACGTGTGATTTTGCTGATCGAAATCAAATTAAAGGCAAAGTTTGGAAGACTTAGGACGGGTGACAAAGGTAAGGTAGGTGTTGGGACAATTGTACCCGTTCCAAGAACTGGTGACGTAGATCCGTCAGCCAAAGTAACACTAGAAGTATGAAGAGGTGTGTGGAATGAGGAAAAAAGACTAGGATTACCTGTCATATGATCTGTTGCCCCAGGCAGTATTAGCAGCTCTATCAACCTCCTCCTTGGGCGGGTCATCAAGTAAGTGGGTATATTTATCAATGCTCCTTAAATAACGTTTGATAGTTTTACTCCATTCAAGATAATTGGAGCCACAAAGTTTATTCTCAGTAATTTTAAAATTAATGGGAATAACTTCAGAAACTATCAAAGGCTGACTTTGTGTTACTGCGGAGGTGTCAGTGTCAGAACCAGGCATTTTTTTTTCTTTCCTTTTTTTTTCTTTCTTTTTTTTTTTTTTTTGAGACCGTAATAAAGTTTAAAATTGAGATATTTAATTTAATGAGAACTTACAGCAGCCCGTTTTGGGCTTGAGAACAAAAGATATAATCTGCTTGGGCTTTGACTGCTACTCCAGATATAAGTCAGATGCCAGACCCCAACGAATAATCAGCCACATGAAATAGTGTGCGTATGTCCACAGACTGAATGAGCAATTGTCGGAGTCGGAAATTCGCCGGGTAGATGGTCGGACCTGGCAGAGATTCTGAATAGAGAGGGCTAAAAAAAAAAAAATCTGTCCTGGGGTGAGTTTCTGAGAGACAGAATGGTGCCTAGAGGTTCTGAAGAATCTGAACTGAACTCAGGTTTCTTTGAGGAAGAACCCAGTATGAAAAACTAAGCTAAAATCTAAAAGAAAAGGAACTAAACTGAAATGGAGTCTCTGATACCATGTTATCAGAATATATAATAGTAATGAGAATGGAAGAATTTTCTGTGTATTTCCTTGGAGGGATAAGTCCCTATATATATATACATTACAAAGATAGAATATTCCTATAAGATGCTATACAATAATAATATCTTAGAGTATATTCCTAAAATATTCTAAAGCATATTCTAAAGATAGAAGAATATTCTAAAGCATATTATTCAGCATATTCCAATGTCTTTCACAACTACAAATACTAAATAGTATAGTATCATACTTCTGCTGCCACATATATTCTTTAACTATTAGATTTCGGGGAAAGAGAGCATCCCCTTTTGGCCATTCGATTGTTATAATCAAGGGTGAAAGTGTGAAACTTTATTCTCATTTCTCTGAATCTCTCCTACAACACCATTTTCACAAGAACTCAACCTTATTACTATAATATATAACTCTTAAATGTTAAAGTCCACCCCCTGACTCGAGAATGAAGATCTGTTGTACTTTCTAACTCACAAACAATGTATAAGAGTGTGGGAAGAACTGTGCTTTGATAACACAGAAGAGTGAAAATGTATATGGAAGTATCACTACCTGAAGTGTTGCAAGAGATGCATCCCTGGTTAAGCCGTAATAAAGGCAAAGTTCAACTAGATCAATGGAGACAGAAACCTTGGTGGTAACCCATCTGATACCGTCTTCGGGTTCACCTTTTGTAGTGTCAGAGCTCTGCACTGCTAAAGGTTCCATCATTTCAGCTGAAGGTAACACAAAATCATCTACTAGAGGAGGCAATGTATTTGGAGTCTCTGAAAAATTAGCCAGAGCACATTCAGTAATTATCTCATACTCTGTGCTAGATAGAGCTGCTTTCAATTCTTCCATCTGATTATCAAATACATACAAACACTGATAAGAACACTCAATTTCAAAGTAGTGGAAGATTAACTATCAAGCATCCAAGAAACCCAAAAATGTACTCCCAGTAAATCAATAAGACACCTTTATATCAACTTCTACACCTGGAATTTGATGCAGCAAGTCCCGTAGAGATCTTTGGATTACAATTGAAATCCCATTAACATCTTGAATAATACTTTGACCTAATTCTGGCCCGGAACCAACATTTAAATTTATATCTTTGAACTGCAGAAGAGAACTTGTAGTCAGTGTGAGTGTTTTTTTATAGAATTTTGAAAAGAAGAAGACATAGAGGAAGGCAAATTAGGGAAGCATTTGGTGACAAGTAAACTCGACTAGTAAGTCCTGTCCTTGGCTAATTTTGGCCTATTAACAATTTGGGCATATTGAGTTCATGATTAATTTTTATCAAGTAGAACTGTGGGATTCATTTATTTTAACCTTCTATTTGTTGTCTCATCATATAATCATAAACATTCATCTATATCCACAAACATCAACTTTGTTTTAACAATACTCTCAATGTAGAATTGTACTTCACCAATATATTTTGCATATTCAGTCCTGTAGTGTGCATAGAGGAGAATGGGCACAAAAGTTAGGCTTTATCAAGAGGGATTTCAGGAAATGGATCTTACTGAAACAGTTAAAGTTTCCATGTGAACTGCATTCATATCATTTTTGCTCCCACAAAGCCATTGAAAGCTGTTCTTGATTGTGATATGAACAACGTCAAGCTTTAATAAACTGCTAAAAAATGAAATTAATGAATGTCCAAAGGCATGTACAAAAATCAATACCCCTTACGTTAATACTACATTGCAATACCAACTGATAAATCAAGTGTTGTACCAATGTATGGGTGAAGTGGTGAACAAAAAACAAAAAACACAGATAGGGGAAGAAACATAGAAATGGAGCAACTTCAATGATTGAAAAATATCAATCAAATACTTAAAATCGTACCTTTTGGTCTCTTTAGTTTTTTATGTCTATGCTTATTTTTTTATGAACTCTTTTCTTCATGAACTTTTAAAGTTTTAACAAAACAAGTAATACAAAGTAATAAAAGTAAATAAAATATAAAAAGTTACAATTTGTGATACTCTACGCATAAACTGCCCTAAATATGAATAAAAACAATGTGATATTCCAAAATAGGAGTACTATGTTTTTCCCTAAATGGGAGTATTTAGTGTCATGCTTGGAAAACACCCAATTATGGCATTAATATTGACATCTTAATGCGTGGTAATGCCAAAATATGGTATGATTTTGGGATGGCACTAAATTAGTCCTATTTAGAGGGGGGGAAACATACTATTCCCATTTTGGAATAGCACATTGCTTTTCCTCCTATTTCGGGAAGTTTCCCTCTTTTAAGTCGTAGATTAAAAGTTTTCAATTAAGCCCTATGTTGAAACAGAAAGTATAAACTAGAAATAATATTGGAGAGGAAAGGAATTTTTGTATCTTTATTGCAAGGTTTAAGTCCCTATAAATATACATTACAAGGATGGGATCTTCCTATAAGATTCTATAGCATAATAATATCCTAGAGTATATTCCTAAAATGTTCCAAAGCATATTCTTACATTTATTCTAGTATATTTCACACTCCCACTCGAGTTGGAGCATAGATATTTTTTAACAAAACAAATACTCCCTCCGTCCCGCTAAGATTGTCTCATTTTACCTTTTCGGGAAATCCCACTAATATTTTCTCATACCAAATTTGGTAAAATTTGTGTGGCTCTGAATCATTTTTACTTTATTCTTACTTTATCAATTCAATATCAACCACATAAATTCATTTTTCTTAATAACCATGTCACCTCCTCTTGTCTCAATGTTAGTGGGACGGAGGTAGTATTTTATTAAAGATAGGGAAAATGTACAATGCAAATAGGAAGATAAAAGGATTAAGCAAACAAAAGCAAAACAACGAAAAGAGAAGGCCCAACCCTAGGTAAACGAGTGCCCCATATAAAAACAAGTTATAGCTCCCTAAGCCTACAGTGAAAAATAATCGTCAACGCTCTGCACGAGTTTGACATTGCATCCTCATGCGGTGTAATTGTTGATTCCTCTTTCTTTAAGTTTTCATATGTAAGTTTTCATCTGCAAGTTGATATTATCCGTAGGCAAACAATTATCCCTCACGATCAGCAATGCCTTATTGCAGATATCCTGGTTAGTATCAAACTCCCATAAATCCTCCACCGTCGTTAGAGGAGTCCGTTTTCGTTCTCTGAAATGTGACCTGAGAGGATACCCCTTGAGGAGCCAAACTACACATCTTCACGATCTGAAAATTTGAGTGTTCAAAAGGCAAACCAGTTGGAGCTGCTTTGAAACCAGTTTTAATCTTTGCACCCCCTTGTTTAGGAATAGGCCCATCCTTACATAAACTGAGTAGATTCACTCCACGATTTTCAGAAGGTGTGAAATTATACGCTCATATTCTTTAGAGAGAATGGCTGACAGATTAGTCACACTTGAATTCATAATATCCTGGATGAATAACTTCAAATCTGAAATAGAAGATTCTAAGTTTCTAACATGGCACATATATGAGATGAATCTAATGAGGACGTTGAATGTCGAAAGGAGCATAGGTATTTATAATTCCCAACTTGCTACATAAATAATCAACTCGAATCTCATTTCGTGCTTTAGTGAGTTAATCTCCAAGTTGTTCTCCCGTCTTCACATATGCGGTAGAGATAATCGACCTCATCATGATTTGTTCTCTCTTGAAATACTGGATTATTCGCCAAGTGTATAACAGCTTGGTTATGATAGAGAGCAGGTCGCGGCAACCCAGGCTGAGGATCGATCGAGACCTTTGTTGGTCTATCGAAGGCGCGGACGGGAGGGAGCCAACTTACATGGGCAGAATATTGATAAGAACAGAGAAATAAAAATCAACGGGGTAAACCGTTGCCCAGATAATCAACGATAAAAATACCGTTGCCCAGAGCCAAAAGGCTAAAACCAATTTTTATTCCAAGATGATCAAGAATGAAGCATATAAGGAGTATAAATAATCCTCTAGGTCTAATAAGAATAAGAATCCTAATTAAATCATAATAGGAAACTAAATAGAATAGGAATCCCCTAGTTCTAATAGAAGTCCTAATTAAATCATTCTAGGAAACTAAATAGAAATAGGAAACCTCTAATTCTAATGAGAATAGAAGTCCTAATTAAATTATATCAGGAAACAAAATAAATTAGGAAACAAAATAAACGGAATAATTAAAATTAATTAAATTGCCCGCATCCAGCCCACGAAAGTGGGCTCAAGCCCGTCCCGCCCCATGCTCTTCCCGCTTCATATCAATCCATCCTCCTTCAGTCTTGTCCTCAAGGTTGAAAACTCGCGGATCGGGAACTAAAACTTCCAGACATAGAATAGATTGGCAAATATCCTTCTTCTCTTTCCTGGCCGGTTATATCATAGAATTCATGTTGCTTGAGGTCTAACTCTTCATCCTCCTAAGCTATCATTACCCGCAGCTGCTTAAAGGGACAATCATGCCCCGACGTAAACGGTTTCTTGCACCTAAAGCATAATCCTTTCGCCCGCAATTCTGCAAACTCTTTTGGCGGAAGTCGAGTGAACTGAGAGCGTGTCGTAGGCTGCCCGGACAGACCTGACTTCGTCCCTGAAGGCTGTCCACTATCTTTTGCAAAGCTGCCCTCCGAACCCTGTAAGCTGCCACCAATGGCAGTCAACGGGGAACCTGTATTTGCCATGTATTTGCCATTAAAAGGCTGCTAAAACGTACTCCTGAAGAATGATAATTCAGACTGCCACTTTCTTTTCTTTGGAAGGACAGATTATGCTCCACTTCGCGAGCTAATTCCATAACCATCTTCAGGTTGTTTGGCCGAAGTAATCGCAGTGAGCTTCGGATTGTTTCCTTAAGCCCACTCATGTAATAGCCCAAGTAATGATCATCAGTTAATCCCGGAAATTGGCTCGCTAGCTGAACAAAAAAAATATTGTAATCCTCCACAGATCCAGTTTGCTCGACTCCGGATAGTCGTTCAAACCTGTTTCCCTGATAACGGGAATCTGGCCACCAGCGCTTGTTTGAAATCTTCCCAGCTTATAACGGGTTTGCGTGATCTCAGCCAGATTACCCAGTAGAGCGCTCCACCTTCCATGGGCACCACAGCGGCAGCCACCTTCTTCTCCGGTAGGGTTTCGTGTAGTGCAAACTGTTGCTCCACCCGAGCGATCCACCCGATCGGGTCTCCCCCATCGAACACCGGAAGTAAAGTCAGAGTAGGGTTGCGCAGCACCCTGTCGATGTGCGGCACTGTCATCGCGACACTGCCGACTCCAGATGCGGCGGCAGCCGAGGAAACGGCGAGGACGTCCGGCGAAACAGCGGCAGCGTCCGGCGAACCAGGCGGCACCAACGCCTTCGTCAACGCGGCCAGCGAGGCAGCGATCTCTGCTAGCTTTGCTCTGTGGTCCTCGAGCGTCTGGTTCATCCGGGTTTGCTCTGCCCCTAGTCGAGCCACCTCCTCTCTCGTTCGACCTTGTTCGTTCTCCAATTCCGTCAATCGATCACTCTGAGATCTTGTCATCTTGGCGGGTCGGGATCCGACAGGTCAGACCAATTGATAAGAACAGAAAAATAAAAATCAACGCGGTAAACCGTTGCCCAGATAATCAACGATAAAAATACCGTTGCCCAGAGCCAAAAGGCTAAAACCAATTTTTATTTCCAGATGATCAAGAATGAAGCATACAAGGAGTATAAATAATCCTCTAGGTCTAATAAGAATAAGAATCCTAATTAAATCATAATAGGAAACTAAATAGAATAGGAAACCCCTAATTCTAATAGAAGTCCTAATTAAATTATTCTAGAAAACTAAATAGAAATAGGAAACCTCTAATTCTAATGAGAATAGAAGTCCTAATTAAATTATACCAGGAAACGAAATAAATTAGGAAACAAAATAAAAGGAATAATTAGAATTAATTAAATTGCCCGCAGCCAGCCAACGAAAGTGGGCGCAAGCCCGTCCCGCCCCATGCTCTCCCGCTTCATATCAAATATTTAATTAGTTTTAATTAATTATTTAATTATTGCCTTATGTTTCCTATTTTTATTTAATTCAGTTTCCTAGTCTAATTTATTTGGGAGTTCTACCCTAACTAGTAGGTTATTTATAGCCCTTAAAGGGGTCTTTCAAACTATCGATTATTATTCCGGAATAAAGAGTTATTCTAAGCTTTAAGCTTGGGCAACGGTTAACCCCGTTGATTGTTGATTACTGTTCTTATCAATTGATCCTACCTGCCGGATCCCGTCCCGCCAAGATGACGAGATCTCAGAATGATCGATTGACAGAGCTGGAGACCGAACAGTATTGCATGGGAGAAGAACAAGCTCGGTTGGGGGCTGAGCAAGCCAGGATGGCGATAGAGCAGAATCGGATGAATCACACCTTTGAAGAACACGGTACGAAACTGAAAGAAATCGCCGCTTCTCTGGCCGCGTTGACTCAGGCCCTGGTGCCGCCTAAATCACCGGACGTCGCCGCAGCAGGGGTCGGATCCGCATTGATATCGCCGAACGTAGGAGTGTTGCGCAGCCCGGCTCCAACCTTGTTACCTGCGTTTGACGGAACAGGCCCAATCGGGTGGATAGCTCGTGCCGAACAACAATTCGAATTAATTGGAACCCTACCGGATAAAAAGGTGGCAGCCGCAGTGGTGG